TTTTAACCATCAAACATATTTTAAAAGACTCGAGGAGAATATTATATATACCTAGATGTTTACCATTTTTGTTGCCCTTCCTTTATTCCTGATGCTCCAAGTTGCCTTCTGGTATCATTTTCCTTCTGTCTAAAAAACTTCCATTAGTGTTTTTTTTAGAATAGGTTTGTTGGCTATGAATTCACATAGATTTCCTTAATTTGAGAATGTCTTTATTTCACCTTTATTTCTGAAGAATATTTTATTGGCTATAGTGGGTTGACAGTTCTTTTCTTTCAGCATTTTAAAATGTTGATTCACTTCCTTCTGACCTCCATGTTTTCTGATGAGGAATCCACAATGATTTAAATCATTGTTCTATAAGTAATGCATGGTTTTTTTCTGGCAGCATTTAAGACTTTATCTTTTTCTTTGGTTTTCAGTAGTTTGATTATGATGTGTCTGGCCATGGATTTATTTGCCTTTATCCTGTTTGGGGTTCTCTGAACTTGAATCTGTAGGTTTATGTTTTTCATCAAAATTTAGGAAGTTTTCAGCCATTATTCCTTCAAATATTTCTTCTGCATTGTACTTTTTCTTTTATCCTTCTGAGTTTCTCATTAGAACTTTTGACATTGACCCATATGTCTCTGAGGCTCTGTTCATTTTTTAAAAAATATTTTTTTCTGTATGTTCAGTTTGGATAATTTCTGTTGCTCTGTCTTCAAGATCACTGACTCTTTCCTCTATTATTTCCATTTCAATGTTGAGCCCATCCAGTGATTTTTCAAAAATTCTGTTTTTATGTTTTTTCGGTTCTAAAATTTCCATTTATTTCTTCATGTTTTTTTGAGGAGACATTCTGTCTTTCCATTTGTTTCAAGAGTGTTGATCTTTATTTCTTGGAGCACTTTTATGATAGTGCTTTAAAGTCTTTTACAGATAATTCCAACATCTGTGTGATCTTGGCACTGGAACCTGCTGATTGTCTTTTCTTATGAGAGTTGAGATTTTTTTGTTTTTTTGCAAATTGAAAAATTTTGAATTACATCTTGAACATTTTGAATATTATGTTAGGAGAGTCTGGGTCTTATTTAAAACCACAGAAGAATGATGATATTTTTGTTTT